CCGGGCGTGCTCCGTCCCTGCCGACCACGCCGTCTTCGGGGACCCGTGCTTCGGAGTCTCCAAGTACCTCCTGGTCAAGTACGGCTGCGTCGGTGGGGACAACTCGACAGGTATTAAAGAGGCCTATAGAAAGGTAACGTTTGTGAAGAATGTACCTTCACATGGTCTAGCCCAGAAACAACTGCTCTGACTCAAACCAAGGATATTTAAAATCTCCTCAATCACGTTATATTTGGTAACCAGTCCCTTTAGCCTACAGTTTCCTAGGTTATCTAGTCCAGCATTTACTTCGGCCAAGTACCTCCTGGTATGGTCAGGGGAAACTCGTCGATGGGTAAGGGCACGGTCACATTTCCAAGCCGGGGCCCGAAACGAAACATAAACAATTTGTATACACAAATACTGCTCATGGTTAATTTTCTCACTTTTTTTTGTGTTTAGCTGTCTTATATATATATATCATAATTTTCGTTCCATACGACTGCCCGGCCGGGCCCCGGGTTGGGAAATGTGACCGCGCCTTAAGTGTATGAAATCGATCGATCTTGTAATGATCACTGCTATTTTCTTTTGTCCAACAACCAAACAAGGAGCCTACAGCCCTCCTGATGATGACGACATTTCCAGGAGGATAAAGACCACTACGGTTTGTGCACCATTTGGGGCTAGTTTCATCTAGACTCTAGATGTTAAAACAGTAGTGGCCAAATATACTGGGCATAGAAAAACACGGCACATTTTACAATCTTACACCAAATGTCACAAAGCAGTTACCATACACCAAATCTTACCAGGTTTTTATGTAGCCAAATTCACTCGCTCTATATTTTATTATTATTATTATTATTTTATTATTATTATGTTAGCACGACAAAACTTCTTTACCATCACTCTAAGTGTTCTACTCTTTAAATTCTAAATTGTTCTAAATTAGTCTGTGCATCATATATGTAGCAAACAAGATATGCAATACAGGAACGACTCACAAGAAGACAATCTCTGCCAATACCTCTACACCTCATATTTGTTTTTGTTAATAGAGGAAAACCGCCGATGAAAGTGTTTCCGGCACCACCAAGGTCCCAGCTGTGATGAACTCGAAAGGGGCACTGGAAGGAGACAACAAGAAAGGTAGATCTCATTTTGGACAAATGTCTTGTGCCTTTTCAGCATCACATCAGAAATTTTACCATTTCAGTCGATCGCTGTCATAACTTTGGGTATCAGTTCTAAACACGAAATCAGAGTAGTGTTTTCAAACGTACAGGAAATATATAGATATAGTTTGTGAAACGAATTACATCATAGAATGCATTATTAGTCATATGATTGTGTGATGAAACTTACATGTTTCATAGTTATCCTTGACTGATATGTGCATATCATGTCAAACCCTGTCAATCAAGTGAAACTCAATTTCCGTCCACCCACTCACTTTGGAATCCAAACCTACAAACCTAGCTTAAATCAGTACCACTCGAAACAATACTTCCGCCTCGCAAAAGTTCTTATCAACGTTAAAGATCCCACCACACCTATCGAAAAAGAGTAGGGGCATGCCCCGGTGTGCGATGGTACAAATACTTGTCTGATGATTCACTATGGACTCCAGGAAGAGTAGTGTGAAATTCACACTCATGGAGGTCCTAAACAAACAAACAAACAAACAAACAAACAAACAAACAAACAAACAAACAAACAAACAAACAAACAAACAAACCCTTTTATGTATGTCGCCGTAGGTTCAGGGGACAAAACTGATGACGAGAACACCAAACCTGATGACGTCAGCCGCCAGAACGTCATCATCTACGTCGTCATCGGGATCGTGGCCGTCGCAGTGCCTCTTGGGATAGCTGCGTTCGTGAAGGTGTTCCTCTGTGCGAAGCCTGTGGACAAGGTGGTGACCACTGACCCCTCACCTGTGCACTTTACCCCTGGGTCAGGGGATGCCAGCATCACGTTTGACAATCCTCACTACGACATGAGCCCGACTGCCCCGAGCTATGTTCAGATGAAAGAGTAGCATAGACAGGACAGGAAGAAAAACACCACGAAGACCACATACTAAGTTAGGATCTGAGAAATAGATGGGGGCCAGCATGCCCTTTTTCCGTAAGTCGTAATCGGGCCCTTAAATCTTTGTAATCCGTATTCAGCCTCCCTAAAAATCAACGTAATTCGTAATAGTACACTAGCCGCAAAGCGTAAAGTCGTAATCAGCTCTGAACTTGAACGTAATTCGTAATCGGCTGCGAAAATTTAGCGTAATCGTAATCACTACCCCCCCCCCATGCAGGCCCTCATAGATCGATCCAGATCTAGACCCTGGATCTACCTACGATAGAATGGTTACAGACAGGTGCACTTCTGTCGGATTGGTCTAGTGTAATTTGTTTTGACAAAAGATGGAGTTCGGGTTTGGCGTTGTCTTTTACAAGCCTTTATTAGTTTATAGAGAAGGGTTCTTAACTTCGTATGCGCTTTTTGTGTGTGTTTTTTCTGACTAAATGCCACTTTTTGACCTTTTGGTTCACTTTTGAAGAGAATTTAACGGAATTTGTAGGACAACTGCATGAGAAGCGTATTCATGAAATGATTTATTTAACACTGCGAGATAATCTGATTTGTCTCTGAGAACAAGTTGACACTTACAAACACAAACGGGCACATGGGATGCTATTCATTTATAACATATGCATGAAGTATATATCACCAGGCACATTTATCATTCAGATCAATTACATGTTTATCCAGTCACTCTCTTCTTCTGAATCGTTTGCTCTAACTTGTGACAAAGAAAACTAAATTTCTGTATCACCATTTGCAAGAACCATCTGACAAATGTAGCTCTTAAAGGTCAATTCATATCAACAATGATATGTGGTATGGTAATTTATAGGTGATATTCCCTTCTGTATTGGCATTTGCATGTCAAATGCATGTAACGATATTCAATTGCATATTTTGGCCCAAATTTAAATTAACACATACTTTTGATTTTCTTTCGTAATTTTAAAATCTCCATAGCTATAATGAGTATATGATAAAGCTATTTCAAGTCGATTTTACTACTTTTGAATTCATGTTCGTCTAAATTTCGCAAAAATCTGTATTTCTGTAAATCTGTCTACTGCTTAAACAGAAATAAAACATAATGAAGCATGTCCAGATGGTGTCTTAAATTTAACAATCTATAATATAATGATAATTCATAAAATGATAAATATTTACTTGCTAGAACATACTATTAGCTTTTCAATATTCTATCTTCTTTTCTAATAGACAATACAAAAAAAACATTTCAAATCAGACCAAAACATTTCCGCAACCCTTTTTTTTATTAGCAGCCACCAAAGCATGAATACATTAAAGTTTAAATAGTGAATGTAATTCATCTATACGTCTACATTATCCATCATCATTCCAGTGTTTATATTTCTTAAAGTGTTGTGATATTTGCTATGTTAGTTCGGTATCTATATGTGAGTTGTTTAGTCCGCTAGAGCTGTCTTCATACAACAAAGACAAAGTCAAGAAATATTCTGTTCAAACTTGTACACTTGAGGTTCGCATTTCATGTCAAAACGGCGTTGTTCTTTGGCTATAAAACAGAATCTCCTTCATCTTTGGTGTAAAAAGAGGACGGTCACAGAAGGTCTCCTGCTCCTGGTTTCTAACATATGGTGGATTTAGTCACTAATGTTGGATCTACTACTAAACAGTGGATAATAATGAACAATAAAGGGCAGTATGTAACATTTCTGCACCAATAATTGAAAAAAAAATTAGTTCAGTTCATCTTTTATTTAGTAAAAAAATCTTTTGATTGTAATTTACGTCCACTTTTCAACTTTTTTTGTTCAATTATCTTGTATTTCTGATATTTATGGTTGTCACCCGAGGCACACTCAGTTTCCACCACAACTACCAGAATGTAAACAAACACGACAGACAGATGTGTTTCCAGCTTTTAGACACACTCGTAAGGCGTCATACTTTCTCATCTTTCACTTTCTGAATGACAATTATTTGCAATGGAGTAGGGTTAATTCAACTTACTTATAGAAATGACCAGAAAGTTACATAATGCAGCTCTAAGTGTACTTGTATAATCTAATTACTTGGTTATTTGTAGTAAGAATAAAATAAACCTACCACAATAGTAGTGTATAATAGTACTGTATGGTATCACCAATGCAGCCTCTACACTACCCAAAGCACCCAGCTTTAAACTAAATATAGATGATAATGTTCTTAAATATATTTGCTATCTATATCATAACATATGCAAAGAGCTAATCTGTTCTCTAAATGCACTCCTTATATTAGTGCACAAAATCAATGTTACTAGCATACGCGAAGTCTCTCTCTCTCTCTCTCTCTCTCTCTCTCTCTATATATATATATATATATATATATATATATCCATTAAACTCTGTTTAATATATATTCATTAAACTCTATAATATCATAGCCTGGAAGGTCGACAAACTAACTACCTTTTATTATTTCCTTCCTCTACATGGATTATATATTAATTGAAACAATCCTATCTTTCAAATATGGCAAGAGCAGCAATAATGTGCATTAAAATGAGACCAACTATCGCAAAACACTGCGATCGCGAAAACTAGTCTATTGTGTGTCGATGCTAACTATAGAAGCGGCACTTCTCATCAATATCACCGTAGTCCGATTTCAGTATTGTATCCAGAACTGTGCATATTTAGTTCAATGTCAGAATGGGTTAGGGGTTAGGATCAGACATCATGTTCCGCATAGTCTCTGTATCGCAGGTTGTCTGGATAGCTCTATGTTTTAATGGTTTAGGTGTTAGATTTGTGTACGGTTCTGGATAGTCTCCGCATATCAGAGAACGTAGATTTGCTCCCAGGATTCACTGTTCTGGATACTCGTAGACTATCCTGAACAGTGCCGGAGCATGATTCTGGATAAAGCACGGTTTTCTCTGCTGATGTAATGACAGTCGAAACTGCCAAACTCTACTCTGTGTGCGTGTGAAACTATCTCTCTTTCTCCCTCTCTCTCTCCCCCTTTCTCTCCCTCTCTCTCTCCTTCTCTCTCTCCCTCTCTCCCCCTCTCTCTCCCTCTCTCTCTTCCTCTCTCTCGCTCCCCCTATCTCTGTGCCAGTCAGTCTCAAAAGACTGAACTATCCATCTGAAATAGGGAGCCTAACCTGAGTCTAACCTCTAACCAACAACGTCTCCATCTCCACCGGCCGGTATTTCCTCGGCGACTGGCCTGCAGGCAATCTGAGGGGACGGCCTGTACTTGTGATCCTCGGCGCAGGCATACCCGGGATCATCTCCCACTGCCGGAGGGCGGGGGCAGCAGTGGGGAGGCACGGCTGTAGGAATGAATGAATGAATGAATGAATGAATGAATGAATGAATGAATGAATGAATGAATGGATGAATGAGTGAATGAATGAATGAGTGAATGAATGAATGAATTAGTGAGTGAGTACGTGAGTGAATGAGTGAGTGAATGAGAGAGTGAATGAATGAATGAGTCAATGAATGAATGAGTCAATGAATTAATGAATGAATGTTTACTTACGTGTCTTGCGACTTTTGTCGCCCAGCCCATATGGGCTATTAAGACACCAGAACATAAACATGAACATAGGTACATAAATCATAGAAACATAAATAAATCAAAGTCCGAATCAAAATGTCAGACACTATATGTAATTACGCACAGGATTAAAATGGATTCTGCTGATTACAGCTTTCTGTTCATAATGAATGGGGCAAAATTTGCAAAATAATCAAACATATCATTAAAGAATGAGATCTCTGAAGTCTTGTCAATGGTTGAAACGTTGCCACTTTTGGAGCGTACCTATCTCGCAAATGTAATTCTTGAGTATATAGCCGAAATGGTTGTTCCATCGGTAGTTGAACGGGCTCCATGGGCGGATCTCCACACATTTCTCCCCGTAAATCGTGTCCGGTTGGCCGGTTGACCAGTCGCTGTAGTCACCAGGTCCCAGCACGCTGCCGTCACTCCAAACGTACTGCGACTGTAGAAGTGTTGAAACAATATCAAGAACATTAGGCGCAAGATGTTACAGAATGCACAAGATCATGGTTCTTCTTGAAAAGAAAGCTAATAGTAAACACGAAAGTAGGAACTAACGAGTCCTTATTAGGCCTACTAAACATTATTGCACTAACTACTTTAATATCTAAACCAGGTGAATGGTCTGGAATCGATTCATACACACTCTAAATGTAAGCAAAGCTGAATGAAACATGCAAGTATCAAACAAACTTACGGCAGGAGCAGTCAGATCGTCCAGTCCGATCCAGGTCTCGTAGGCGTACGTTGTTTGGATGCGGTTGTCGATGGCGGCATCCAAAACAGCAGATTTGATGACCACCAGACGCGCGCCTTCAGCCTGGCAGATATCCCTAGCCTGTTGGTAGGTCTGACGGTCTGTAGAGAACCGCAGGCACGGTCCGTTCGCTGTCACGCGTTCGTAGTCCTCTGGGCAGTCGTCTGTGGAGAACAGGTGTCAAAAATCAGACGGTCGTTTGTAATTCACACTGATGAGTGACTCACAAGCATGAGTAACAAGGCCAATAGTTGTATTATCTTGTTACTTAAGATAACGTGAAATTTCCATTTGCAACCCTCTCAGCCGAAATTTCCAGTTGTTTAGTCTAATTGAAGATTTTCCTGTATCTTGATATATTATCCCTTTGGGAAAAATACTTCGTTTCCAAAAATGAATTAGGGACCACCATGCAGTTCCAGGATTTCAATGGTCAATTTATTTCTTTATCTGTGATGGAATTTTACAAAATTTTGTTGACGTTGTAGGCAATGTTATGTTTCATAAAATAACATATACTTTCAAGAGTTCCCCTTCAACCTGACGTTTGACTATCATTCAGTGCAAAATGTGAAAACGGTATCTTGTGACTTGTGACACGTGAAAGCAAGGAAAACAGATGCACAAATCATATAACTTAGGGACCTATAGCTATTTGCATGATTGATGGAATTAACGCAGTGATGATATGTGGGGAATTTATTTTGTTCTTGATCAGTAATTGTCATGACAATCGATGAATCTTTATTGTCTTTATCATAATAGTTAATTAATCACATTTAAGGGGGGCCCTCGATAAACCTTGTGGGTTTCTGCTTTCCCCTGTATATATATCCCTCTACCATTTGTAACAAAATTATTTACCTCCATGTGAAAATAATAATAAAAATACTCCTATCTTGAAAGTTCATCTGTGTTGGTAGAAGTCATTATGAAGTAAGTTTAAACTGTAATTTCCAACACAACAAAAAATTGGACTCACCCAAATTTTGGACTGTACAACTCCAGTCTTTTTCAAGGAATGAGCAATCCACCGCTTCCGTGACGTCACGCAGATAACACACGTGACTCCGTGAGCAGTGGATCATAGGTTGCAGAAAGGGATTAAAGAGGCCATCTACATCAGGGCTTTACAGCCATCCCTCAACAGAGACGGGGGGCGCCACAGACTTTCTGCAACCTTTGATCCACTGCTCACGGAGTCACGTGTGTTATCTGCGTGATGTCACGGAAGCGGTGGATTGCTCATTCCTTGAAAAAGACTGGAGTTGTACAGTCGAAAATTTGGGTGAGTCCAATTTTTTGTTGTGTTGGAAATTACAGTTTAAACTTACTTCATGATAAAAATACTCGCAGGACAACCTACCGATTGTGCTATACACGGACATTTTCCAGTGTGCTCCGCAATCCTCGTTCTGATTTCCGGGGCACAGCATGTTACATAGAGTGTTGGGTAACGGGGGGTCCAGGTCGTCGAAGTTTGCTGTTGTCCCACAGTGACATTCTTTTCCAAATTCGGTTGCTGTTGAAGAAAGAAGAAAGAATTTAAGAATGCAACTATTTTTCCTTCTGTTGGCTTAGAGTATTTTGAAATGCCAAACGTTTGGGTAGATAAATTGATGGTTTAGGTACTATAAGTGCATTTTATAAACAGGCAGGATGGGCAACGGAAGTTTCAGAGTTTTACAACTATCAGTTTAAACTCACAGTTGTGTCTGATGTCAAAAACTCTCCTAGGCTCTTACCGGAATAAGGGAATCCCTTGTCATGGCAGTGCTTGCAGCACAGGGCGTTAGTCATCTCTCGATCCTCAATTTTAACGTGGGGGAACTTACGTTCGCGTTTGTCTGCAAAACAGCCTTGGTACCTGCATACACCTGCAAAAGGAGACAAACCACAGAAATTACATCAGTTTAGATGAGCGTGTGGTCACTTTTCATATCATATCATATTGAAAGTATTGAAAGTACATTTACTTGTCGGGCCATTTTTGGCTTGATCACATTCGTCGGAGGTCATCCTGCGACGACTTTTATGTAATGGAATTTCAAGCAAGCTAATCCAATTGCCGACCAGGATCTAAAGCAGCCTTTTCCGTAACAAGAAAGCTGAATTTTACAAGGCACATACATGGCCTATACCAAGAGAGAGTGATTAAAACATTGCACGAAAGGCGTTGAGCACATTTATTCAGGTAAAAAATTACGTCTGGGCTCGTCGCAGCAGATCTGGTCGTGGACCATGGCCGTGATGTTTTCCAGTCCCCGGAAGTCCGCCAGTTTGTAGACGTGGTCGTCACAGTTGGCGATGTCGTGCAGCTGCGCGTCGCTGACGCAACTCCCGACGCCGATGGCGAAGGTCTGCACGCCCATGCTGTGGAGGACCGAGGCCGGACCCGTCACGGAATCGCCTGAGAAGCCGTCAGTGAGAACAATGACTACATCTGCAGCGTCCGCGCGGTTCCCGTTGCCAGGCAGCAGCATGGTGTTGGCCACGTAGCTGAGAGCTGCACCGGTGAGGGTCCCGCCAGTGGTCGTGATTGGCATGCCATTTATGTGTAGGAGCGTAGGTGGTTTACTACAGATAAAACAGAATACAAAAGGAAGTCGTATATCAGTTACAAGGTCAAAATGATTGTACGCTGGGGATGACTATTGAGATTAGATAGGATAATATGTCCTTGGTATTCACTATACGGAATCATATAGTCCAGCTTTGCTTGCAAAAAGACTAAACACGCTGGACCAAACCCATAGTCTACGGAGACGGAAGCAGGCCGATGATGATAAATGATAACCATTTAAAAGATAACATGCCTCCAAACTAATCTGAAAGCACGCACTTATCACATATACCATCAGACATTTCTAAGGACGTACTTGCTGTATGCGTTCAAGTGGAACTCCAGCATCTGCCCGTGGTTGTATCTGAGCACGCCGACGCGCGCCTCCAGGTCCCCGAACTGGTCCACCAGCGATGCCACGAAGTCCTTGACCTGCTGGAAGTCTGAGTCCGAAACGCTCCCGGAGTAATCCAGGACGAAGATGATGTCGGGACGGCAGCATTCCTCCTCTTCTGTATCGACAGATGCGGTGAATTGAGATTTCAGAAGTACGAATTGTATTAGATTTTCGTCTGTATCGGAATTATGACATGAAATTGTGTGGTGCAACGTATGTAAGAATATTTTTGAAGAAAGCCTGTAGACCACTATAAAGCGTAACAGTTATTGCAAACCTTTGATCCTTTGTATCCTCAAAAGATGTCTTAAAATGTATCTTACCTGTTACCAATCCTGATATCCTGACACGCTTATGAGAACACATGAGAAATACACATCCAGACCACTCCTACCTTTACATTCACAGACCAGGTCTGTTCCGGACCACTCCCCAGGCTTCACGCACGTCCTGATCCGGTCCCCGGACACCTCCATGGCGTAACCTCCCTCGTTGTAGCACCGGTATTCGCAGCTTTCCCCGTATTTGTAGAAAGGATGGCAGCCGAACATCTCGGTACAGGGCGGGCTGGGTGGCAGGCCGCAGCCTGAGGGTGCAGAAAAGCTATAAACGCCCGTGGAGAATTCTTAATTAAAAAGGCAGTCCTTTCTCTTTTTCGACGAATTGCAATTTTAGCGTACTTAAAGACTTATTTCTGTATGTTAAGTTTACATCATATTTCAATCGAAAATCGGTCCAAGATCAAGTCAAAAATGGTCTTGAAGTATAATAATCATTCCCATATTAAAAACTCGTAAGTTTACAAGCTTGTTCATGTTTTCAACGATGACCTTTATTCGAACTATCTACCATAGAATGCACACCTTTCCTGCATCTCCAACTTTTATCTGGACCGGTCCACTGTCTGTGGCTGCAGGTTGCGGTAGTTGTATCCGGAATGGCGGCGCAGCCACGGTTTTTGTCGCATTGGTAGGTGCAAGTCGTCCCGTCAGGGTAGGGGGAGCCGGACTGGTCACATGTGTAGATGGCGCAAGGTCGGGAAGGAGGCCCGCGGCATCCTTCGATGACAAAGAAGGATGCAGACATGCAGTCATCAACAGAAAGCATGGAACACGTTATACTCATTACTACTATAAAACAATTAATCTTCAAGAAATTTAAAAAAGACTGAGATTAAATTTCGTTTTAAATATATTTACAGCCAAAGCTGGCAGAACAATTGGTCTTTAGCGACAGATCAATGGGAATTTGAAATGAGTGCCTGATTAAGTAATCCCATGCTAGTTGTAGAAATGGAAGGGTGATTTTCAAGATACGATAATCTCTAATAAGGAAAGTGTATTTCTTGGTCCAAACATCTTTGTTCATTGATTATTGCCTGTTTTATTCTTCTTAGCTTAGGAACTGTTCAACCACAGACCCCGTTGCTCACTGACGATAGGTAGTGGATGCTACTTGAAACGGATTGAAACAATTTTCACCATCTGTCCAGTTGCTTGAGTGACTGTTTCTTTTGGTGTTCGATCATGGGTTACCTTTGTGGCAGCCATTCCAGTCTGGACCGACCCAGACCCCGTCACGGCAGATCCGGGTGGTGGTGGCGGGAATGCCGGCACATCCGCGTCTCCGGTTACACCAGTACGCACAGGTCTCCCCGTCGGTGTAGGGAGACGCGCAGCCCAATCTCAACGCGCACGGGAATGATGGCGGTCTGTCGCAATCTAAAACGGGCAGGACAGGAGGAGAGAACAAGGCTACTCACTGACTGGACATATCATCATTCATGAATACATATCCCACCGCTGCCACCAGTGTAGGGTTTGACGAAAGAGATGCTGTTGCGCCATGTAACTGGTTTTAACATATTTAAAAATATGTTACAGTGGATATATGTCCACATGTGGATAAGGCGGTTAACAAGAAACCCTGTTCACGTACTTTGCTGGCATCCTCTCCAGGGTTCCCCGACCCACTCCCCGTCCTCGCAGGTCCTGACCATGGTGCTGGGGACTCCCGTGCATCCGCGGTCGCACTCGTACGTACAGACATCCCCGTGGTCGGTACCGGTACAGGTCCGGGTTGTGCACGGGAAGGTGGGCGGCAAGGCGTCGCAGCCAAGACGCAGGACTATTGTTTTCATTGTACAAAGGAAACAATAGAAATGGCATCAATGTCAAGTTCAGAAACTTGCAACGCCTGCACGTATTATGTATTACACTTTGACAACATGATCATGTACGTTTTCAGCAACATATACGTATACACAGTTTAATTTAATCTGTCACATGTGTGTGTGTCAAATGAAGGGTTACGTGTGTGTTTGTATGTGTGTGTGTGTGTGTGTACGTGTGTGTGTGTTTGTGTATGTACGTGTGTGTGTGTGTGTGTGTACGTGTGTGTGTGTGTGTGTGTGCGTGCGTCTGTGCGCGCGTGTGTATCTATGTATGTGTATGTGTATGTGCGTGTATGTGTATATAGTCTTTCGAGACTGGATTGCCAAAGACAGATGTGCGTGTATAGTTAACATACTTATATAGCAGCCGGCCCAATCTTCTCCGTACCAGCTTCCTTCAAGACAAGTCCTGGTCATGGTACTGGGGTTTCCTACACAAGTGTCGTTACACGTGTAGGTGCAGGTCTCACCATTGAGGTAGGGGGCGCTGCAGTCGGTTACAGTTGTGCAGTAGAAGTTTGGTCGAGAGGGGCAACCCACTGGAGAGAAACAAGAACGGAAGGATATATCGAATTTATTTCCTTTGTCTTCTAGAATCATCCAGGTGTCCTTTTTAACCCAAATAAAATTCTATGTTTGTTTTTATGCAACCCTAAAAGCATCTATGATACATGTATATCATGGAGGTAACCTCTTTGTCACCGATCTTGTGCCCTTGGGAAAGGCACTTAACACGACGTTCCTCACTTCACTCAGGTGTAAATGAGTACCTAGCTTCGGTTAGGGACGTCCCTCGGATAGGATGTTAAATGGAGGTCCCGTGTTTGGGGAGAGCCACACCCCACGCACGTTAAAGAACCCACCACACCTTTCGAAAAAGAATAGGGGGCATGTCCCGGTGTGCGATGGTCCAAGTACTTGTTTGATTATTCACTACGGACTCCAGGAAGAGTAGTGTGAAATTCACACTAATGGAGATCCCGAACAAACAAACAAAAAAACCCCTCCCCCATCGATACATGTATATCATGCTATCACCTGTATTCACATGCAACTGCCATATAAAACTGTTCAGTAATTTTGACTTACTAAGTGGGCAATCGGGAACCTCGCCGACCCAATCTCCGTTGTTGCATGTTAAGATGTTGCTGGTTGAACCAGGAGCTATACATTCCGGCTTGCAGGTGTAAGCGCAGGTGTCCCCGTTGTTATACGGAGGTGGGGAGAAACATAGCACCTCTATACACGGTGGGATGTCCGCTGGTCCGGTCAAGCAGTCACCTTAAAAAGGGGTGAAAATGTTTAGTTGGCAGCCCGGTGATATAAAAAGGAATGCGTTTTTGAGATGAAAAAAGCCAGCGAATATAACGCACACACACACACACGCGCGCACACACACACACACACACACACACATATACACACACACACTCACACACACACACACACACACATATATATATATACACACAATCACTCACATCGAGGAAAAACAGCAACGTCAACCCAGAGCCCATCCTCAGTTTGCTGGGGGACTAGGTCTATGCCGGTGACTACTTTTATGACTTCATCAGTGTCCGGGTCTCTGGTTTCGATCTTTTCGTCAGGTTGGCAAAGGGTTGGTGGAATTCGCTCTAGTGCGAAACCGCCTCCCAGGTTGGTGCGCAGGGGGTAGGGACAGTCAGAGTCCGGTCCGTACGTGGTGATGTCAAACTCCATGGCGTTGCGAGAGTTGCGATACTCCGTCTCCATGTTGAACAGGTATTGCTCGTAGTACAGCGGGTACCTTTCTCTTAAAGCTGCGATGGCGAAGCTTGGCAGCTCGTCTTCAAAGAAATGACAAAAAACAAGGTACGACAAAGTCACAAGAACCTAAAACATCGAGATGTATGTATCCTGAGTTTGCTTTTCCTTTATTATCTTAAGCTGTACATGCTTGATACACTTCTGGGATATTATATTTTTGCTTATATTTGTTGATGTTGCTCATAGTACACACAAACGTTATCTCTATTTTGGCATAATTGATTAGCATAGTTATGTACAATCTCCTAATCAAGCTCATGATCTAAAAACATGGCAATCATATGTTCTGGCAAACATACCTGGCAATCCAACATCTGGGTTGAAGTTCCTGGTTTCATCCAGAAACAGTGCTGTTGTGCAGCCTGCGTTGGTGTAGGTTAGAGCCCAGCGCTCAGGCATGATGATGATGTTCTCCGTATCGGGCAAGTCGGCGAGCGGGGTGCCGTCATAGTCTGCGTACGCGGCCAGGTCGTTCAGGAAGGAATCCAGCCCAATCTCCTCAGCCACGGCAGGGTCCAGTGTCGAGCCGGTGATCGCAATAGTTGCGGCTTCGTAATCAAATACTAAAGAAAAGACAAGGCGACTTCTGCAGTTGAAATATCATGCCACTGTATAAAATATGTACAAAACAACAGAGTAGCTTCCATCTACAGATTACTCTGGTGCGGCTAGAACGCTGATGATTTGAATGTTGTCCAAAGCTGTTAAAGTCAAGTTAAAACTTTTCTTAATTCTCGAATCATTAAAACTGTAGATTCTGGAATTTAATTTGCAATAAGTGAACTTTTAACTGTGACCATTTGCACTGCACACACCTCAATGAAGGACTTGACCATTCCGAAATCAACTGACCAGTTCTTGTAGGTTTTATTGTCAGTGGCCCGAACGGGGGGATATAAAAGTAAATCCTCGCTGACCTAGTGCAATACGAGGTTCACGTATAAAAAACCTTTAAAGCTTCTTCCAAGCAAAAGTGTATAATACTGAGGACGTTGCTTACCCCAAGGGAGCGGAGACGTCGGAGGACAACCTGGGACAAAAAGAGATGCGTTACAAACAATGTGCTTAACCAAAGCAAAGTGGTGACAAAAAAAGATGTTACTTATCATAGATACTTCAGTTAAGTCACTCAGAGTACGATGATACCGTAGTATTTGAATAAGGTATGATATGCTTGCACAATGATACTACGTGATTTTGGAAGAGGTCCAGTGATCAATGAAGATATCAGTGCAGGGTGCAGTTTCTGACCGACACTTCAGCATGGTTAACCTATTATGGCATGCGGCAAAGCTGATAATGGCATTTTCATAGCATTTGTTTATGGTTGAAATGTCGTCGCAAATTAAGTTGTAGAAACGCACTCTCGCAGATGTAGTGCTTGAGGCGCCAGCAGTGGTGGTTGTTCCACCGATAGTTGAACGGGCTCCATGGGCGGATCTCCACACATTCCTCCCCGTAGAGTGTGTCCGGTTGGCCGGGAGACCAGTCGTTGAAGTCACCAGGCCCCAGCACGCTGCCGTCACTCCAAACGTACTGCGACTGTTGAAGTGTATAAAATGTTATCAAGAAAGAAACGGGCAAGATGTTACGAAGTTTGTATCTTGTAGCGTTTCTTGTCAAGAGAGCTGCTAGTAAATGGAATAATCAAACAAATGATCGCCACCTTTTGAACATTCGACATACACTTTACGCAATGAACTTATTACCAACCTTTAGTGTACTTGCTACTGAGGTGTTTGGCCTGAAATTTATGCATGTGCACTTAAGATTGCATGCTATGACTTGGAGAGAGGGAAGACAAGGAGGGATAAGGGCAGAAACGAAGTCATCAGACAGATGGTTGGCAACAAACCAGTCCTCCAGTTCATTGCCAGACAAAGGGTCCAGTGGTTTGGCCACCTGATGAGAATGCCGACCACCCAACCAGCCCTAAGGGCCTACACTGCCAGGCACTCAGGGGTTACGGGCCAGAGAGAGACCGCGCCGCCGATGGATAGACGGAGTAGCGAAGAGTCGCCGGAGACCCTCAGGGCACACGGCATGACACTCCTGGAGGCCACACACCTGGCAGTGGAACGTCGACTACATCTCCCCGTGACGCCCCACCAGGCATAAGGACCCCGGAAGGATAAAGGAAAAGTAAGTAAGACTTGGAGAGAAAGGAAACTTACAGGAGGAGGAGTCAGATCGTCCAGTCCGATCCATGTCTCGGCGTTGTAGGTGGTTTGGATTCGGTTGTCGATGAAGGCGTCTAGCGCTGCGGATTTGATGACCACCAGACGGCCGCCCTCGTCGCGGCAGGTTTGGCTGGCGTCCTGATAGCTCTGACGGTCTTCAGAGAACCGCAGGCACGGTCCTCTCCCCATCGCCAGCTCGTAGTTTAGTGGGCAGAGTTCTGTGGATCATAGTTTGTCAGGCCAGACAATTACAGAGTATCAAAAGTGTCAGGCAATCGGCAAGACATCAGAAGGTACTGGAAGTCTGTACACGGCAGACCTGGCACAAGCTATTGTGGAAAACCAAGTACGGAAGGGTCCGTTGACTATATCCCTTTTGTCCCCTGGGATCTTGTCCTTCTAAACTACATGTAGTTCTATATTTGCAAACAAAGCTAATAATTGAAACGATTCCTGACATATCATGGTATCTCTTGTAGCTGTGTTGTACGCGTGCATCTTTTTTATTTGAATTCCGTTACAAGGCATGGAAAACGATCTGTCGCATCAAATTGTCAGTTAATTCAACTTACTCTTTGTGCAGTAGGGAACGATGCCGTCCCAACTTCCGTCATTGCATGTCAGAATGGTGCTGATAAACCCGATACATCCAGGCGCGCACGTGTACCCGCAGGTGTCTCCATGTTGGTAAGGAGCCGGGGAGAAACACAGCGCGACTGTACAAGGCGGGATGCTGGGCAGAGGAGGGCAATCTGACGGAGTACAAGAAGAATACATCGAATCTATTTCTTTTCTACCCTTGAATCCTGTCGGAGTACCTTTTCGGGCTCAATAAAAGATTCTACCTGTCTTTGTGCATATCATATTAAAGCATCATAACATAGCTAGTATACCAATAGTTGTGTTTATATACACGTGCATGGTAATTAATTAGTTACAGATATTTCGCTCATTGGAAGGCTGTATGTTTGTAGTTATTCCAACTTGCCCGCGTTGCAGATGGGCACAGTGCCGTCCCAGATCCCGTTATTGCACGTGACGATGGTGCTGATGACTCCGGAACACCCTCGGGCGCACGTGTAGCCGCAGGTGTCCCCGTTGAAGTACGGGCCTGGCGCGCACACAACGTCTATACACGGGTAGCTTGGGGGAGCCAAGCAGTCACCTGAAAAGAAAAGAGACAGAGGAGAAATATTTTAACAGTAGGCATTACAAACCCGAACCTGCCTTCTTGCTGTATATTAAATGATTCTTCCCAGTCATTATCTGCTATCTCTGCCGCTAAGAGGCACATGGCTTTGGGCGTTTGTGGCAAGTCTTGAGTTACAGTATTCCTGTATTCTGAAGGCCAAGGAGGCTATTGTGGCAGCGTAACTGGGCCTAATATGTTTTCAAACCAACAACAGGCATCCAGCAGTAACATTTACCAATATTCCCCTTTTGCGTTCTTGTGATTTTAAGTCCAAAATGGCCAAAACAGTTCCCAAAAAGCTGCTGGGGGCTAAACATTTACATGACGTCTGAGATACATTGTGAGAGTAGATCTTGAGACAAGAAAATTCGCGCACTCACAAAGAGAAACTTCAACGTCAACCCAGGCCTCGTCTCTAAAGTCCTGTTCCTCCTCTATGAACTGCTCTCGGACTATGTCTCGGCCTGTGCGTACTTTTATGGGTTGATTCGTGACCGGGTCTGTGGCTACGATCCTCTCGTCAGGTTGGCACAGGGTTGGCGCAATTCGCCGAAGTGCGAATCCGCCTCCCAGGTCTGTGCGCGGAGGGTAGGAGCAGTTGGTGTCCGGTCCGAACGTTGCGCTGTCGAACTCCACGTCGGTGCGCGAGTTGCGATAATCCGCCTCCATGTTGGACAGGTATTGCTCGTAGTACAGCGGATACCTGTCTCGTAAAGCTGTGATGGCGACGCTTGGCAGCTCGTCTTCAAAGAAATGGATTGAAAAATCAAAGGCAAGCCCACTTTCAAACATCCAAGTTTTGGCATGAATTGATTTAATTACTCAACATTTACAGACCACAGATAATAAGACAATTCTGGTAATCTCCAAGCATATCTTCTGCTGCCCGCAAAATACAGTATCTATTGGTCAGACAGTATCCACTATTCAAAACCTCCTTGGTACCACCATGCTACCCTCTAGAAAATGCTTGAACAGTGGGTTTACACGGCCGATTGTGACAAACAAACCTGGTAACCCAGTTCTGGTGGGGTCGTGTGGCGCAGCGGTAGCGCTTTCGGCTCAGGACCTAGAGGTCCAGGGTTCGATCCCCACCCATGTCACCGATCTTGTGCCCTTGGAAAAGGCACTTTACACGAATTTCCTCACTTCACTCAGGTGTAAATGAGTACCTAGCCTCGGTTAGGGCCGTCCCTCGGATAGGACGTAAACTGGAGGTCCCGTGTTCGGAGAGAGCCACACCCCACGCACGTTAAAGAACCCACCACACTTATCGAAAAGAGTATGGGACCTTCCCGGTGTGAGTGGTTCAAACATTACAGTCCGGTCTCAGGTTTGACATCTTTGAAAAGGTGATAGTCACCTGTTATGTCAATCCTTCCACAAATGTGGTAAATCGTCATAGATAAACCCAACTTCTGGGGCAAAGTTCCTGGTCTCTGGCCATTAGTGCTACCCTCTCGATATTGCTTGCACAAAGTGTTCCGATACAGACCGTACGTGTTTTATCCAACATCATCAGGGTCAAAGATGTTGATACGGGCCATACCTGGTAACCCAACTGCTGGGTCGAAGTTCCTGGTCTCTGGCAGGAACATTCCTGTAGTGATGCCGTTGTTGGTGTAGGTTAGAGCCCAGCGTTCAGGCATGATCACGATGTTATCCGTATCCGGCAGGTCGGCGACTGGGGTGCCGTCATACTCTGCGTACGCGGCCAGGTCGTTCAGGAAGGAACCTAACCCGACCTCCTCAGCTACGGCAGGGTCCAGTGTCGAGCTAGTGATCGCACTGGTTGCGTCTGCGTAGTCAAAGTCTGAAAAAAGCGGCAATCAGTTTCTGCAGCCCAGTTGAAATATTACGCCTCTGTAAAATAATCTGTACAAAATCACAGTGAAGTTTCCATCTACTGTTTCATTTATTAACAGTGTAACTTTGGGTGATGAAGTGTTTATGGCTATAATGAGAGAATGTTTTATTGACAAGCAACATTTAAAGACAACCTTTAATGAAATTTCCTTTTAAACCATACAAATATGTCTTACTTTGCTTATATTACTTTGTATGTCTGATTTTTCTTATTCGCAAGCTTAGTCGTATTTATTCCATAGGTCTTTATTTTGAATTCTCGAGAAAATATTTCTCTATCAACATATTCGCGAAAAATATGTAAGAGTTGCAGTAACCTGTAAAATGTAATGTTTTGATATAAAGGTAAAACCTAAGTGACACCATGTTCTCGTCTTTAAAGCACATTGCAAGCACAAGTTTATGATACAGAGAACGTAACTTACCGTCAGGTAGTACCGGATATGGTGGAAAACAGCCTCCGACTGCTAGAGATAAAATTGATACAATGTGCTTTACCAAACTTGTGAGAAACAGATTTGATTTGATTTATTAGACAGATATGAACAGATATGCTCATTGTTGTGTTGTAGGTGGTGGATAATGGCTGAGGAGTAGCCGTTAGCACTAGCGGCCGACTGGTCTCTCCGACTACTCCTCAGTCATTTTTCACCACCACCAGGGTCACTCTTTCAAACTCGAGTACACGGATATCTAAACCGGAATGGGGTGTTAAAGAGGCAATAGACGAAAGAATATACAACCCAACCCTCAACAGGTAAGGGGGACTACGGGCAGATCTCTCAGGCACTTGTGTTGGCGGTCCCAGCCCCAAGGACCCTTCCACAATATTGCAATACTGCCGCCAGCCAATAGTAACGGAGCTATGCTGTTTGTGCACCTCAAATATATAGACGGATCTGGCAAACAAAAAGTGGAGCTCAGTTATTTTCACTTACAGCAAGGTGCGAAGGAGCCGACCCATCCAATTAACCCGACGCATGTCAAGTTGCCGTATCCTCCTATGCATCCAGGGGCGCACTCGTAAATGCAGATGGAGCCAGGGATGTAGGCAACATTGGGGCTGCACGTTGTAGTCATACATGGCGGTGCCAGAGCCATGCATCCACTTACTGTGGCGTTTTATATATGAATAAGCTTTCGATAAATTACTCTTTTAAGATATTTGAATATTAGTACATTTAGTATGGTTTATTTAAGATTTTAAACAATGGTAACGTTACGTTTTATCCATAAGTGTGTAGACAGCTGTGTGTTGCATTTGTAATTGTGATTGTAATTGTATTTTGTACCCAGACCCAGCAATTTAGCCTAATGCATCTAGGCTGCCAGTGGGTCCTTGGATTTATTTTTTCAACAACAATAAACCAGTCTATAATTATAGGTACTGGATTATAAAAAAACATGTAACAGGTGGGTGAAAAATAAAAATTTATATTCATATATTGTTTTAGTGACTTGACTATACAGAGGGCTCTGACAAGTAGAAATGGAGTTCAGTTATTTTCACTTACTACAGGCGGGAAGTGTGGGGAAGATCCATCCTCCTGTACCACAGGTCGTGCTGGTGCTGGTTCCGGTACATCCACTGCCGCACTGGTATTCACAGGTAAAACCAACGGGGTAGTAAGTACCGGGCGTGCAGGTGGAAATGACACACGTTGGGGAGGGGGGCAGAGCCGGGAACAAGCATCCACCTATAGGTCATGAATTACATGTATTAGAGACATTAAAAGTGTAAGCCAATTGCGCTGACTCGACATTCTTAATCTTGCCAAGGATAAGAGATAAGGGAGAAATGTTATGTTCCACGCATGACACAGGAGTCTTCCTAGTCCTTGTCTGGCATTGCTGCCATTTATTATTTTGTGGTAAAGAAGCATCTGGCTTGGGAGGGTTTGTGGCAAGTCTTAATGCATAGTTGCAAAGTTCCTGTACTCTGCAGACAAGGTGGGATATTGTGGCATTTTGATCAAAAGAAAACACGAATATCAGTTGATGTATAATAATTAAACAAATAAACAGGTATCCAACCGTAACATATACCTTTGACTATTCCCTTTTTGAGTTATCATTTTAAGTCCAAAATGGCCCAAATAGTTTTAAAACAAGCTGTTGGGGTCCCCAAATCTACTTGACTTCTAAGATACATTTTGAGAGTAGATTTTGCTTGAGACGAGAAAAGTCGCGCACTCACAAAGATCAACGTCAACCCAGGCCTCGTCTCTAAAGTCCTGCTCCTCCTCTATGTATTGCTCCCTGACTATGTCTTGGCCCATGACCACTTTTATGGGTTGATCGGTGACCGGGTCTATGGCTTCAAACGTGTCGTCAGGTCGGCAAAGAGTTGGTGCAATTCGCCGCAGTGCGAATCCGCCTCCCAGGTCTGTGCGCGGTGGGTAGGTGCAGTTGGTGTCAGGTCCGTAGGTTGCGATGTCAAACTCCACGTCGGTGCGCGAGTTGCGATAATCCGCCTCCATGTTGGACAGGTATTGCGCGTAGTACAGCGGGTACGTTTCTCTTAAAGCTGTGATGGCGACGCTTGGCAGCTCGTCTTCAAAGAAATGGATTGAAAAAATCAAAGGCAAGCCCACTTTCAAACATCCAAGTTTTGGTATGAATTGAATTAATTACTCAACATTTACAGACCACAGATAATAAGACAATTCTGGTAATCTCCAAGCATATCTATTCTGCTGCCCGCAAAATACAGTATCTATTGGTCAGACAGTATCCACTATTCAAAACCTCCTTGGTACCACCATGCTACCCTCTAGAAAATGCTTGAACAGTGGGTTTACACGGCCGATTGTGACAAACAAACCTGGTAACCCAGTTCTGGTGGGTCGTGTGGCGCAGCGGTAGCGCTTTCGGCTCAGGACCTAGGAGGTCCAGGGTTC